ATTCATCAGAAGTCTCATCTCAAGTCTTCTTATTGGCATTTTATTGAAACTTGGGAAATAACAGTGCCATACAAAACTAATGATGGGCTGATATGTAGAAGAAACCAAAGCAAATCTACAGAAACAGAAAGTAAAAATGTACTTACTAATAGTATCAGACTAAAAAGATTTTGATTTAGATAATGCTTAATCAGTGATATCTTCAAGGAGAAGAGTGGTTCAAAAACTAATGAGATATGCAAAATATGTAAGTTATAAAAAAGATATTATAAATTTATTGAACTACTTGGGTGCAAGATACTGCTTGTGTGTGAAGTTTACTTAGATCATTGATGTTATTATCTGTTTATTTCATCTATTCCCTTAAAGTTTGTTATGAATTAACAAACAGGACAGCTAGTTAATTTGGAATTGGTTTAGTTAAGAAGTTAAAATAATAACAACTATGTAGAGATATAACTTTTTGTTCCTATAGAGGCAGAATTCTCTCCCCACCAAACCCCATCCCATGGCTTCCTAATCCAGAGCACAGAGCACATCTGTTAAGGTAAAAGATCCTTGATTCAAAGCTTGGCATTTCCTGATAGGGCTGAAAAAAAGTCCTGCCTGAAATGCCAAAGAGCTGCTGGCAATCAGTACAGGCAGTACTGATTAGATCAGCGTTTCTCAAACTTGGCAACTTTAAGATGTGTGGACTTCAATTCCCAGAATTCTGGGAGTTGAAGTCCACACATCTTAAAGTTTAAGGGAATAGATGAAATAAACAGATAATAACATCAATGATCTAAGTAAACTTCACACACAAGCAGTAGATTTCTACTTCCTCCACTCTGTGCATGCATAGCAACATAGGAAACTGCCTTGTCAGGTGACCATTGGTTCATCCGATCCAGTGTTTCTCAAACTTGGCAACTTTAAGATGTGTGGACTTCAATTCCCAGAATTCTGGGAGTTGAAGTCCACACATCTTAAAGTTGCCAAGTTTGAGAAACACTGGATCGGATGAACCAATGGTCACCTGACAAGGCAGTTTCCTATGTTGCTATGCATGCACAGAGTGGAGGAAGTAGAAATCTGCTTGCATGGCCTTGGAAGTCATCATCAAATAGCAACAAGATTTCAAGCAAGCAGAAATCCAGGCCAGAACTCTCTGCAGCCTTGGGGACCTGCAGCCTATTATAGTTGACTGTACTGATTAGGTCACTAGTTACTGTACTTGTGGTCTGATTGGGTGTTTTCATACACAAGGCTTAGATTACTAGTAGATCGTTCCTGTTCCACTGATGCTATGATACGATTTGTGTATCTGCAAAGACAGATTTGAGTATAAAAGGAAGTTATCTTCTGTAATTCAAAGATGGCTTCAACACAGAATTTAGGTTCACCAAAAGATCACTTCTAATTCTTGAAATCTGAGCCTTCTTCATTTTCCATAAATGAAAACAATCCCACAGTATAATTTAAAATCTCCAAGTACAACAAGCTGACTATGCTGAAACACACTACAGAATACTTCAAGCTTGACAAAACTTTGGAAACTTGCTAGTCAATTTGGAACCGGTTGTAGGGTCATATTTACCTGCTGAATTAGTTGTGAGCATCAGATTCAGTGACACTTTTCAGTAGCATGCAGCAGCCTGGTTTTTAGCATCAGATGTTTCATAATACTCCACAAGTGGCTTCAGCCAAAACCATAAAGCTCAATTTCAAATGAAGTAATAGGGTCTACTCTCTGGGGCCGAAAACTCTAAGAGAACACTTGGTAACAACAACAGCAGCAGCAACCAAAATGAGATAAATCTTTAGAATTCAAGCCAAATGCATACAACATCCAAGTCACTTAAGTACCTGAGGCACTTCATTCTTCAAATATATAATACACCTGCTACTGCTGTCCAGCATACATTTATGTTTTCTTTCCCACTTATGTATCTTTGGTTAAGCTGAAAGATTTTTATTTAAATCCTCTCTGATAAAGGACAGAAACTCCCTGCACTCCAAGACAGTCTTAGAAGTTCCTACTAAATGCAAAAAAAATCTCCTTTCAAATGTATCATCATCATCATCATCATCACCAGTTACGCAGCACTGAAGGTTAGGATTCTGCCATGTCACTAGTCCAACATTATTCTGCTTTAAACAACAGTACAGAAGTGTGCCATGAACTTGGAGAGGATGAGCCCACACTGCAGTAATTGTTGTCAGGCTGAATGGGTAGGAGGGAGGAATGAGGCCCATGTCTATGCTTGTCATACAATATGTATGGAAAACACCATCAGAATCTGCTCGTATTCAGCAAGAATCCAAAACATATGTAAACAGTTCTCCTTAAGCTCAGAAATACTAACCAGACTGGCTTGCAAATGGTTGCTATGCCACTGGCTCTGTGAGAATAATATGGGAGGTCTCATGAAAAGGTTGCATACCTTCCAGTTCATATATATTCTTGATTGTGACAGAATGAAGATCGTGTCACATCTTGACTCTTACTCCATCATAGTAGGTGAACAGGACAGCTGTGAAAGCAAAAATTAAACCAATTTAGGTGCTTATGGATGTTTTGACATGAATATTTATGGTTTTCTGGGGTATCTTGGAAATAGAAAACTGATCCCTGTCCAAAACTACATGCACTGCTTAAATAAAATTAAGGACGGCTATTTGTGATATTGTATTACATGAGGAACAAAGTATCTATAGAGAATAGCATTAAAGTTGTTTTGGAGCAACAGTTTTCCTCTTGTATGGAGGTAATCACTGAAAAAAAAAACTTGTAAAAGCAACGTAGGTGAAAAAGAAAAACATTGGTGGGAGGGGGGGAGAGTCCTCTTAGGAAATCATACAACACCTGCTGAAATTAAAGGAGAAATTAAATAGCTGTTAGATCATCACCCTAGTGCTGATGTTTTAGATATGCAAACAGATTTTCATGCCTGTGGCTTGCATTAAAATTGCTGAAGGCTCTACTCCAGAAATCCGATTATTCCTTTTTTGCTAAATTGTTTTCATTTGGCTAGAGGTGACTGAATCAAGCAATGAGAAGTTTTGCAGATATTTTCCTTAGTTTAATGAGCCATGTCTTCTTATTGTATAGCGTTTGCTGCAATATTCCAAAGCAGCAACAGAGTGATTATGTTTCTCAGGTTTTGGTAAAAGGTCCAGGAAAGATCCATCTTCTGCTGTACCAATAGGCACACTGTAAACAAATAGGAATGTCATACTGGTATAGTACCATAAGTCTTAAAAAACTGGGCCAGAAGAGTCTGGCTTTGCTGTATATATAGGTATGCACATGCAACGTTCCAACTTGGAGATAAGGGGCTCTTCCTTCCATCGAAAAGTTTATAGATCATAATGGGCCAATTCAGATGTCAGTTTGCATGTTACAGAGCAGTCCTGAAAGACCTGAGAAGCTATCTCTGGTCAGGAGAGAAGGCAGTGGGAGAGAGAAGGCTTCCCCACCCCCAATTTTTCTCATGGTGACAGCAGTGGAAGAAATCATATATATATGAAGATACTGTTGAATGCCCCAAATCAGGCCATACTGCTGAATCTATAGGGAGATGTTTGTGGGGTGTAACAACAGAGGCTGCTCTCTCTGTTACTGGAGGGCCCTTCTGCCCCATCCTAACCCATCCTTTCAGTTATTCTTCTGTAGTGTGTAAGATTAAGTATACAGCTGAGTCAATGTATGATGGTTGGTTTGAACTCATGTAATAACATCCATGCACATGCTGTTTATTCTTTATTTGTTAGGCTTATGTCCCAGCTTTTGTTCAGAAGCTCACAGTGCTGCACATACCACTCTCACTTCCTGTTCTTCCCCTACAACCACAAGCCTGTGAGATGGATGGGAATGAAAGAGAATGCCCAAAATGACTCAGTGAATCTCTGTAGCTGAAGATGGGCTTAACTCTGGGTCTCCCCAGCACCAGTCCAACACCTTATCAGCTACACCACAATGAATTAAATCTGTCTTTTAAAAACTCTGCCTTTAGACTAGACATTCTCCGTAGCTCTTTCTGATAATATTAAAGTAATGCATTCCATACTAAGTTCTGTGTCAAGGTCCCTTTTATGTGTGAGGCAGTATTTGTTTTAAAAGCAATTCTTGCTCAGGGGGCACAGGACAGTAAATAAGCACCACGAGTCACACAATACTGCAGAGTGTGATAAGTGCAGGGAAACTGGAGGTGTTTGAAAAGGGAAGCGTGTATTGCCACCAAAGGCACTGCAGGCTCCAAGTGCAACAGATTCACTTTCCTACTTTAAAAAACAAACTCCATTAACTCTATGTGAAATTCAGGGTCTGCACAAGAATGAAGATATAAGAATTAATTGTGCAGTAGGGACTTTCTGGTGGAGACATGGTGAGCTAAATGTCTCCATGGAGAGCAGAGATGACAACCGCAGCAAAGACCAAAGAACCAGTGAGTAGACCGGTTCCTCGGAACCTCTCCGGATAAGGAGAGGACAGGAGATTGCCCACATGTGTTCCAGATGACTGCTCATCATGAGAAGACCACAGGATAGCAGTCTTCAGCAGGTCTGAGTGCCAAGAAATGAAAGGATTTATCTTCAAGCTCACAACCGCAGCCGGTGCCTTTTAAAGGGCACTGAATTTGCAAACCACTCTTCTAATCACTTTTGGAAATTTCTTATTTAAATATCTTAAGGCTATTAGAGGTCTTCGGAATGACAAGTCTGAAAAGTCGCTGGTGAGCGCATCTTTATTCCCGAACAAAAGAAAAATTAACTATAAGTTTAAGAACTTGAAATAAATGGCAAAAAAGCTAAACAAGATTTTGAACTACGAAAGTTATAAATGAATTAAGGGTCCAGACAAATTTGGAATATTGAAATTTTTACTATAAGATTTTGGAATTATTATAGAAAATAAACAGCTTTTTGTGAGAACCAGAATTATTTTGACTACTACAAGTCATAACAGAGATAAGAGACCTTATGATTTAAATTGGACACTAAAGGGATTAAAGTCCAGCCAAAAAAGAAAAACAAAAACAGGATTGTGATTTACAAAATGACACAAAATACTATAACATTTGAAATATTAAAGGAGATCTTCAAAGAATGAGGCCAGAAATTAGTAGCTATAATATCAACAATAACAATGTCTGCTTCTATAGATAGATTATGTCTAAAAGATGTTAATGAAGGAATGATAGATGTGAAACAAATTTTGCTTGATCCAGAAATAGTGGAATCAGAAACGTTGGATAAAAAAAAGTGGATTACAAAATAGCAAGGCATTCAAAATGGAAATACAAATGACAGGAAAAAGTGTGGATTACAAGATAGAGAAGAGCCAAGAGAACGACCCTGATAAGGACATGATTTCTTTCCCACACATTCCTTCTTCAGGAGAGGATGGTCTGAGGAAGAATATTTGGCTTCCTAGCAATTCTTCTTTTAAAATTAACCTTTGGCTGATCCCAGTTCTACTGTACAAACCAGATTTTTTTGTTCTGCAGGCATACTATAGTTGTTTCAGTCAACATACTAGAATCATAATCTTTAAAGCACTTTACTTTTGTTTATGACCATTCATTTCTTGCTAGACTGTCTGAAATATCCATGTCAATCTGTGAGCCTCATATCACTCTTACAGGATCATTGAGATATGCTATTTCAGAAGAGGTTAAACATCAAGATCAGAAAGTCTCCTGTGATAAATAAGAACATACAAGGATTTCATCACTTCCAGCTACTCCTGAATACAAACCATGTATTTTTACCTATCTGATATCTGGTAGAATTGTAGGCAGCTACTCTGGGGCTGAGCATCAATATCGAATTTGCGTAACCTTAAACCAGAGAAAGCTGTGGTTCTTTTCCATGGTGCTGTAGTTTTCACTTTCAGATGTGATTATCTGCACCACACCTAACCTTGAAATGCTAAGAACTCCACATAAAGCAGCTTGTGCTCCTTCCAGATGTGCCATGGGAAAAATATTTTTAAAAATGCAAGTCTTGTTTGTGGAGGTGCCAATGTTGTGGAATAGCCTCCCTCTGGAGATCAGGTTGGCCCTTCTTTGCTGATCTGTTGAAATTCCTGAAAATCAAGCTATTTCAGAGAACTTTCCCCTGATCTGATGTTGTGGTCTTTATTTTTCTTATTTTTATGGTATTGTTGTTGTTTTAATGTTGTACGATTGTTCCTGTTTATGACTGTTGGTTTTAAAAACTGTAGTATGGATGTTTTAAGTAGTATTATTTATTCTATGTAAGCTGTCAAGAGTCTTTTTTATTACAGAGAGATAGAGATATTTTAATAAAGAAATACAATTTCAGAAAATGTTAGCCTTAGCCTTTAAATCATCTGAGGTATCTCCGCTGAGTATTGAACATGGTGTTTGACTAATACTCTAGCCAATTCCTGACTATTGTTGGTTCTGACTTTACCACAAATCCAAGAAAAATACAAGCATTCTGAATTCATCTCTATTGTGTCAGCAAGCTCCCATTTCACAGTGTCTATCGTACACTGGGTTATACAATGTTCTCTCTCCAGCAAAGTTTCATGAGAAGTTTTAGACTTAGTTTCATGCGTTAGACTTCACAGATAGCAAAGTCCATAGCTTAGTGCTTTGACAAGCCTGGAGTGAGATGTAGGCTCCAATCCCCACTCAGCTATGAAATTCAAATTAAGTTTGTCAGTATCTCTCAGCTTAACTTTTCTAACTCTTCTCATATGGTTGCTGGGAAGATAAAGAGGAGGAGTTATCTCTGACATTCTGAATCCCCTGATTAAAAGAAAATATGAAATTGAAGCCTTAGATGACCAAGGATGATGCCATTGTATTGCTTCCTTGTGAATGGAATATTACAAAAGTTTGATGAACAAAAGTGAATAAAATTTTACTTTAGCAATAGTGCATGAAGAGACAAAGGGTTTAGATAAATTAATCTGGTTTGCTGGCTTGTTTGTTTGTTTCTTTGTTTGGGGGTCAGACACCAATTAGAAGTTGCTTTAAATATCCAAACTCATAAGGGCCAGATTAATAGTTTGTGAACTGCTGAAACATTCCCTATGTAATGCATGATAAGGCAGGAGAAACAGCTCTGATTTTCACTGATTCCTTATTTCTCACAGAATATCTTAGTTTTACATTACTCTTAGGAAACTTTTGTGAAATCACCCAGAATCCATCCATTGTTCTTGCACTGGAGAATAAATAATGCAAATTACAAAATAAGTCTATATATTGTTTAAGCTTGTAAAGTTTATCATAGCTTCAAATCTAAAGTTGGGGGTACAAGCTGGACTTGAGCATTTCTGAGTCAGCCTGAAGGTCAAGGGACACCTAGAACAATCCTTCTGCCAGGTTGGATACAAGAGTCATTTCTGGGATCGATAAAGTTTAAGGAGGCCATTCTTATAAATAGCCAACTAAAAGCTTCCCCATTGTTAATGAAGAGACTTGCTACTTGGATGAATCATTAAAAAGTCTGTTAAAAAGAAAATCAGAAAGTCACCATTTAATGCATACAGGGATATGTTAGTTCTAAACTGAAAATAGTTCAGTTGCTGGAATTCCTGTAACCCCATCCCTTTCTTCCCAATAAATCTTACTAATGAGACTGTGAGAATCTTGCTTGGAAAAGAATCACTGTTCATTTAGGCAGCTGCCAAAGACCCTGTCTTGGATAACAACCTGAGCTATTGGTCCAAGTGAGTTTTCTATTTAGGCTATCCACATATTTATAGGACCACATGTTAATTCATTTTAAATCTCTCTCACTCCCTCTCACTCCCCCACCCCTTCTTTTAAATCACCTCAGTTCCAAAATGCACAATCTTGCACATCGCAGCAGTGTTACAAAAGACATTCTCAATCCACAGCCCTAGATCAGGACCCCAGATACATCCTATCTCCTACCAGCAACATTCAGGTACTGTCAGATTCTTGGAGATGTTCACAAAAGCTTTTGTCCTAAAGAACAGTTGCATTGAATATGTGACTCTGTGGGAGACTGATGTCTTTTGAATGATGTTATGGGAGGAGCAAAGCTTATCTGCATTGATCATATGGTGAATGCCCCAGATTTTGGAAGACCAGAATAGAGCTTATCTTAAGTAAGATGAAGTGCAGAATTTTTTTTAAAGCACAGGAACCTGCAAATGACCCAGAGACTGTGCACATGGCTGGAACTAAGACATTTTTTGTATGTATAAACCAGGTTTGGGGATGTGGGATAAAAAAGTAGAATTGTTTTTGGATGCCACCAGTTAAATAAAACTGGGAACAACAACTGATGGTCATAGGGTGGCATGAGGTCTTCTGCAACCTAATTTCAGGCAACCCATGGCCTGATTGTAAAAGGCCTATTCACAATATTTGCTCAGACCTTGGCAAGAACTACATTTCCCTTCCACAAAGTAGGGCATCAGAGAGAAAAAGAATGAGAAACCAAAAAAGAGGGATGTAGGGTAAAGAGAAAGGGATTATTAGAAAGAGAAAAAAAATCCCCTCCTTTGGACTCCAGTTTCATCCATTGCTTAATTCACTCTATTCTCTCAATGCCCCCCGAGTGACTTCATCTAAGGAAATATGACTCTTGACTAAGTATAGCAACCCTAGAATAGCAAGAACAATAAGAAAAAGAATGTTATTTGCTGATAATAGTTTTTTAAATAGAGCACTTTTATTGCTGATCTAGAGATAAACGGATAGTTATACCAATGAGATAATTGATTTGGTTAACTTTTGCTTTTGTATATGTTCTAACGTTGCTTATAATGTGGATATTTTATTATCAAGAGAATTAAGGACTCTCTCTCTCGGTTTGATCCCTGGGCTGCCTACTCTTTCCCCCTTCAAGAGTAGCACTTCTTCCAGTGGTGCCCTTCCTGGCTCAAACTGCTGAGCCAGGTGATGAATATAGCAGTTCCCGCCAGCTGCCCTGCTGGAGTGCTTGGGCGGCAGTGTCTTGGTGCGTGCGTCTAGACTCTCACTGTTATTACAGATGGAGTTAGAATTCAGATCATAGTCTTACTTTGTGCTCTATATCTCATGGTAAGCTGTCTTCCCCATCTGGAAGAAAGCAAGCAATGCCAAGAAAAACGGGGTGGGTGGTAGTCCTGGAAAACTTCTTGATCACATGGCACTGAATTTATGTGAGGTTTAATGTTCAGTGGGTAAGTTACTATTAGGGAGGGGGAAGATTGCCAGAAACAAACTCATTCTATGTTTCCTTTGTTATCACCTGCTCCCTACCTTCCCACCCCCGTTCACCATTGTCACATTTCAAAGCTAAAGCTTCAGTACCTTCAAAGTGACAAAGCTCACAAAGTGGTAGAAACACACAATCAGTCAAAATTTGGTTACATGAGGATATTGCTGATACCTTCTGTTACCCCCACTTTGAATATGATAAAAGGCAACAAGACCTAATTCAGTTCTAAACACATGCAATTATTTATGTGGCAGCTATCATTGGTGAGACCTTAGCAACCAACTGTGCTGCTCCAGAAGTGTCCAGGTTTGAGGGTCCCTATGTAAAACTGGACTGTAGAAATGAGTTAGAACTGCAGCTGGTGTACAAACAGCCCTGTTGCCTAGCAACAGCCATTCCTGAATCTCATAGCAGGATTGGTGATAGTTTCCAAAGGTGCCATTGTTGGGGAATTTCAATCTCCATGATTTGGGAGTGGGGTCCATGGACTTAGGAATTCATAGCCTCCATGGGAACCAAAGGCTTGTCTCAGATGATCTCAGGCCTGACCCACAGGGGGTGGGGATGGGGGGTATCTTCAGATCCCACACCCGCACCTGGTATTGATGTGGGATCTGAAGATGGAGGGCATACGAATTAATCTCTTGCCATAGTCAAGACATTTTCTTGTGAACCTTGGATCAATGCTCCATGGACATCTGTAAAGGCAGAGGGCCACTGGGATGATCTGTCCAGGTGACTGACTGATCCTGAGGGCTTTCTGAGGTCACTTGGAGAGTTGCTCAGTGATATGTAATTATTGTGTAATTAATTGTAATTCCTTTGTTTGATTGTTGTGAGCTGCCAGAGTTGTAGAGTCAGGTGGCATACAAGTTAATTAATATTATTATTATTGTGGTGGTGGTGGTAGTGGTGGTGGTGGTCAGTAGGGTAGAAAAATATAGAGAAAAAAGTATGCAGCAGCTGTTAGGAAAACAAGAACTTAGACCAGTAAGACAGAAAGGAGTAAGGAAGAAACTCAAGATTGCCTTCACTTGACTCTCTTCGATATAAGAGGGAGGAAGAAAGAAATGTTGTCAGCCTTTCAAGATACTATTATTTATTGTTATAGAGTAGAATTGTTATAAAGTAGAATTCCAGTAGTTCATGTGGTTCTGTTTCCTGACCTGGCCTACTTCAAAGGGCGGACAGGCAGTTCCTTCTCATGCCTGGTTAATCTTTGGAATAGGAGACCACTAGAGCTTTGGACAAGATTGCTTTAGTGAGTCCTCTCTTCAGTCAGTGATTTACTGAGGAGCTCCAAGAAATGAAGCACATGAAGAGACATCTAGAGAGCCATTGGCAGAACACTGGAAGTGAATATGACCAAACCCTGAACTTATGTTCAGGCCTACACAGTGGCAGTAAGAATAGGTTCTCTTTGTCTCTTCCCAGGAACAGCCTCACCAATGCAAAACATTCCTTTTGCAAATCCAAGATAAAAAATCTTTCCAAATCACTCTTCTCCATTATTTGTATGTCTCCTTGGAACATTTGACATTAGTTGATTCCATTTGTAGTTCCATTCTGGCATTTTTTTCCACATCATCCTTTGGCCATCTTAAGTCCATGTTTAAATCCACAACTTCTTTATTCATACCACCTCCATAGTCCAACATTTTTTTAACTCCAGTTCCACGTTCAATGGCAGCAAGAATAGTAAAGCATTGTACTATTCCACTGCAGTTGCATCTAATGATTCTCATCCAGCTGCCCTGTTCAGGATTACTTGGACTCTGTTATGGATGGAAGGGTAAGACGACATGCTAACAATTATAACAAGTTTGTTAGACCCTTTGCAGACAAAGTTACTGATATACACTGAGGTCTAGATGCCAGTTGGGCAGTCTAGTGAGGTGCGGGGGCTGCAAGTTGTAATGTAATCTGGGCTTCTTTTCTTCTTGTGGAGCCTAAGGAAGTTGATAGGATCCTCTGTAGCATGAGCATTGCCGCTCTGAAGAACCATCTCCTTCAAAATGATACTTCACATCCTCTGAGAGATCATCAAGCTTAAGGTTTCAACCCCACAAGAGTCGAAGGAGATCTGGATCAGAAAACAGGTCTTCTCTCTATAGTTGCCCAAATGCTTGGGAACACTTGGTTTTGCAACACCTTCTGAACTGTTTTATTTAGCTGGGCTTTTAGGTGGTGAAGCAAGTTTTTGTGAGTTTATTTTATGGTGTCACAATGTTTTATATTATATTTTTATGATTTATTGTAAATTGCCCAAAGTCCTGGAATTAAGCTGGTATCAAGTATCCAAATGAATACATAAATAAGTGTTGCATTGAGACAGAATGTGAGTGGAGATGCTGTCTCACTTATATATTTGGAGAGAACAGAATGGTTTAAATCATGAATCACAAAGCAAAAAAGAAGCAATGATAAGACACTGATTTGAATCAAATTTCCATTAGCAGTCCTTCATATGTTTCCTAAACAGTGAAACAAAAATATCCCTTAATTTTAATTTACAATGGGCAAGAAGGACTTATGGGTAGCAAGGAGTATTCTCAGAATATTTAGTACATTCTGAAAAACACTAGGAGTATAGAACGCTCCACACAGGGCTGGTGATAAGGGCTGGTAAAATCCCTTCCATGGGAAAACTCAAACCACTAGAAGATACAAGCCTCATTACTGTGAACAGAAACAGATTCACTACTGATTTGATTCTGGTTACTTTGCAATAATTTAACCACTGAAACAGTAACAGTTAAAACAGTGTGACGCTAGTTCATTTTCTATGATGTTCTTTGTCACTGAAACAAAAATATCACTTCACAAGCCTGTTAAGCCTGCAAGCACTGAATAAGGAAATGGCAGATGGAAGGGGGAGAATGAATCATGAAATGAAATCCTTCTGTTTCTTAAGAGGGGGATGCTGGGTGATAGACGGCTGATGCCCATCATCAGCCTTGCCCTCTTCAGCTGGTTGATTGCTCAGGAATAGTCTTCTAGGTGGCTTCTTACCCCATCCTCCAAACCAATACCCCACACTCTTATGGTGTTGCATCTCCCCTGGGGCTCCACTGTCCTTCTTCCTTCGACCCCCATCATTATCTCACTTTCTCTACTGTACTCTGTTCTCTACTTGATCTCCCGTTGCTCATATTTTGGCTTCCTTCCATTGGTCTCAACAATTCCTCCCTGGGTTTGGCGCTCTCACCTGCCCATCTCCTTTCTTGACTTTCAGCTTTTCTCCACATTCATTAGTTGTTTTCTTGCCACAGCCATGTCCTTCCCTGCATCTTTTTGTCTCCACTCTTTCCTTACCTTTTCCTCTCAGCTACTTCTCCGGCTTGTCTAATTTACTTCCATCGTTCTCACTTCCCTCTCTTCCTCCTTCCAGGCCATGCTCAGGTAGAGGTCACAGGGAATGTCTTGAAGGACAGGAGGAGGAGCAGCTGCCAGGGCAATGGTCAGATAAGCAAGGCTTGAGCCTGGGCCAAGAAAATACGTCAGACAAGCCCCTCCCTAGTTCACACAAAGATAAAGTGTCAGCCTTCCCAGGTAGACCAGACAGTAAACACGACGAGATGAGCTAATTCTACTTTATTGTAAGGCTACGTTAATAGAATCTTGCATGTCTGATAGTACAAATCTCCTGCTGTCTCTTTTACAGGTTGATAGGTTAGGGAGGTTCCTTTCTGAGTTTCTTTTTCTTCCCATTATGCAGCTGCAGGCTACCCCCCCCCCCCATCTGATTGTTCCCTAGGCAGCATCTCTTCCCTCCATCTCCCAAGGTCATTCCCACACACCATTACATAAAGCGAGGGAAGGGGAAGCACATTCAAACTTGCAAGATTCCATTACTATAACTGTTACAATAAAAGTAGTCCTGATCTGTATGGATTTGGTTTCTTAGTCTGGTTTACCTTGTTGGGCTGACACTCACTTTTCTCACCTTCCTCCTTGTTTCAGCTCTAACTTCACTCTCCTACACCACAACTCTCCCCTCTCCATCCCGTCACTTCTAGTGCCTTTTCATTTTCCTTTTCTAGTCTCCTTCTACCTTTATTTCCTCCAAAGAACATCTCCTTCTTTGCTAAGAAAACAATACTTCTTTCCTATCAAACTCTCTTCCTTCCAAAAAAAAAAACCCAAAAACCCAACCCTCACTGCAACACCCTTAATAGGAAGTTGCATATGGTTAGGGTCAAGTGAGAAAAGGCCCAAAATATTGTTGGCTGTAACCCAAGAGGATGCAAGCAAAGATGGGGAATTTTTGCCTCTCTTTGGACACTTCTTGAACTATTTTCCTTCCTATTTAAAGTAATGGATTTATCTATACCCACCACTCCACCGCATATCAGTAACATAGAAAATGGTTGATTAGATTCTTTAGCTTTTGAGTTCCCCTTACCACACCCCTTCTGGGGGTTTCCCAACCTTGGAAAGCACCAGACCTGGCCTACATATAGCCAGAAATATGTTTGAGAGCTTATCCCTAGGGCTTTTAGGGTTATGACACTGAGTCATTCCATAGCTGCTTGTATTACAATTAAGTTTGGTAGTGGGGAGCTTCCACTGGTGCCAATGAGAGATCAGACTGGTGAGTAAGTAGATGGGAGATCATTTTTCAGACTCTCCATCCAAGATCACAGCCCTGACACCCCATCCAAGGGGAAGATAGAGTATAAATTGTTATTTCATTTTTATAGCCAGGCCTTGCACTTTTTCACTTCTACAGAACATTGACATCTTCACCTGAACATCTTGCTAAATAACATATTCATGATGCCGTGAAAGTTTCAGTCACTTCAGTGAATAACTTCCTCCACCCAACTACCGTCAATGACCAGGCAGCCAGAAGGGCAGGAGAAGAAATCTATGTTCATTCCTGCCTTCTTACCCATCACCTGCTTCTTTGTGGGCTGCCTCTTCATCACAAGCCTGTTGCAGCATGTACAATGGAGCCCAGTCTTAAAATAACACAGAGCACAGGTCACTTCATTTCCCATTACAGAATCAGAAGACAGCTGCAAGCCTTGTTGACAGATCTGAGCTTCCCTAGAGTTCAGGGCTGCTTGAGTTCAGACTCTCCTTTCTTTGCCATGTGAAAGTTGCCATGTGAAAGGGAAAAGGGAGGGAAGGAAAAGCCACTTTTGCTGTCAGCCACCCCTCAAGCCTCTTAATCCAGCCCAGGGTCTACCTGTCTGCAATTGTATAAAGAAGAATGCCATTGAAAGGCAGGTTGTGAGACATTGTCTGAGACTGAGGAATGCTCTCAGATATGAGGACCAAATCATCTGGGACAACATACCTCAAAGCAATTGGGGTGTATTGAACCATCTGTTTCATGTGTGTCTGTGTTGTTGTTGTTTGCAATTATTCCAGGTTATTTCTGGGACTCATACTTCTGGATGTAAAGTGGCCTAAAAGATAAGCTCTGAATACTGTAAATCTGTATTCCACACCATTCAAAAGAAGGACAGATAGATTTTAATGATTCAACTCTTTTCTAGGAAGTAAAGAAAATATGGATTTTAGCATTGAAATGCACTCCAACCAGCAGTTATATTTCTTGTTAAACTTCTTTTAAAATATTATTTTTGTGATATGTATGGAGTTTGAAAATCTTTTTTTTTTCTTTCCCCATCCTCTCACTCCCTTCCCCCAAGGTAATCAGAAACTATTATGGTTAAGATGATAGTTACATGAGCTAAAAAACAGCAAAACAAAAAACAAAAAACCCAGCAACAAACAAACAAACAACACACACACACACACACACACAAAACCATTGCAAAAACTCCTGGTGGTCCCCAAAACAACCCCCCAACAAATCTTAACATTCCATATTACATTTTAAGGACATCCAATCCAATTCACATTCAGAATAGCAAAGTGGTGGATTCCCCCATTTTTCTCTATGTCAGTGTAATAGTATGTGGGAATGACCTTGGGAGACAAGAGGAAGAGCCACAGACTAGACAATGGTCAGACAAGCAGCAACTGAGCCCACAGAAGGAATGGGGTCTCAGAGAGGACCCTCCCTAGTTTCTTGGACTGGTGAGGGGGGAGAGATGTCCTTTCACACTTGCAAGATTCTGTTACTGTAACCTTTAGTAGGGCTAATACTTCTGGGTGTGCTTCTTGTCTGGACTACCTTACAAGGCTGACAGTCAATGACTACATGGAACCAAAGTCATGCTCTTATGTTGGACTAATGGAACACTATGGCTGTGTTTGTATGTGTATGTGTGTGTGTATGTGCATGTATATAATATGGCTGCCCATCTCACAAGAAGTGACTCTGGGTGGCATACAACAAAGATATAAAACAACAAATAAATCAGAAAACAATCATTATCAAAAAGTTTAAAAAGCATGAAATACACAAGAAATTAGATTAGCAAAGGAGTCCCCTAAAGATCTCACCAGTCCCCTGGGACCCTCAGGTCTGATGACAAAGCCAACTTTTGAGGGACTTCCAGAAAATAAGTAGGGAGGGAGCTGACCTCCCTTCGGGGGCAGAGAATGTCCCATAAGGTGAGTCCCACAGCAGAGACAGCCTGCCTCCTCAGACCTGCCAAGTGTACTTCCCTAGCAGATGGGACCTGAAACATGCCTCTTCTGCTGGATCTGATGAGACAGGCAGATGCAATCAGGGAGAGGCGATCCCTCAAATAACCCAGCCCTGTGTCATGAAGAGCTTTATAAGGTAAAAAAAAAAAAAAATCAGCACCTTCAATTGGACCCAGAAGCAGACAGGCAACCAATGCAGGTTGCGGAGCAGAGTTGTAACACGTGCTGTTCTAGAAGCACATATAACTGCCTGCGCCGATGCATTTTGTACCAGCTGAAGCTTCCGAATATTCTTCAAGTGCATGTAGAGTGCATTACAGTAATCCAATCGGGAGGTGACCAGGGCATGAGTGACTGTGAGCAGAGCCCTCCGATCCAGGAACAGGTGTAACTGGCGCACAATCGGAAGCGGTGCAAAGGCCCTCCTGACCACGACTGCCACCTGCTCTTCAAGCAGGAGTCGTGAGTCCAGGAGGACCCCCAGACTGCACATTGGGTCTGTCTGGGGCAGTACAACCCCGTCCAGTACCAAAGATAGCATAGTCCTGGAACCAGTAGGCCCCAAAACCCAGAGCCACTCAGTCTTGCCAGGGTTCAGCTGAAGTCTGTTGTTCCCATTGTTCTAAATGAGAGCTAGAGAGACAAGCCATTAAGAATATAACCCACCACCAGAGAGAAGTAGGGCTTCCTGACTATGGGATGGCTTCTTAGTGCTGCTCATGAACCGTCTGCATACGCTGTGCTTTTCCAAGTGAAGCTAAGAAGAAATTGTTCCCTCATTTGCTGCAAGGCCTCTCAGAGTTAATGAGCAAGCATGACTCCAGGCCCAGTGCCCATTTCAACACGTGGTTTCAATAAGCAGCACTGGGAGCAACAATAGCTTCTTATGCAAGAAGCATATGGTTCACTTCAACCACAAGGAAATGGCAGGTGGAATGGGGGGAGTGAGATGCTGAAGGGTGCAGTGTGAGGGGCAGAAAAGGGAGAGATCTATTTTTCCTTCCTACCCATACATTTTATAACCCTATAGAAAAATGCATTATTTTTAATTGCTCTTTAACTATAAATGAGCACTTGACAGTCTGGCTACTGGGAAAAATCCTATTATGGCAAGTCAGAGGCAAAGAATTGGAACTATGAGCCAGCTTCAGCCCTTTGAGAGACTTCCTGGGAAGCCCCAGTCAGAGTAAATCATTCACAGTTTTGTTGCTGAAGCAACACAAACAATAGAAGACTTGCATACCCACATGCCAGAAGCTGAAGTTGGTGAGGTCAACATGTGAATGAATTTATTTGGATAAAAGTTGCCCCTTTAGATTGTAACTCCAATCCCTCATGATCAGGGAGGCATCAGCTAATTTATAAACAATCCTATTTCTTGTTTTCTTAGACTGCAGTGGTTATACTGTCACCAAGTGTTCTGCCTGGGCAAGGATGATGATGACACACGATATTATTTCCCATTTTCTGCACAAGCAGGCACTAGTTTTCATACAAGGGTCATCCTGTATATAAGTCCTGGTGTTCGGCTCATTGCATTTCGTTCTACTCCAAATGTCATCCCAATGTGAGAGAAAGATTTAAAGCAGGGATTCTCAGAAGTGTGGTGCATGGACCACTAGTAGTCCACAGAAGTCCACCAAGTGGTTCACCACAGCCTCCCACGTTCATGGGCCAAAGTTCACTGTCTCATCTCTCCCTCCCTATGAGTGCTGACAGTCAGCTAGATTGGCCCATCCACCATCTCAGTTCCTGCCTCCCTTCACGCCCTGAGAGACGGCTGGTATGCAAAAATGGCTGAAAACGGATTCTTGTAGCATACAGGTGGCAATAGAAGTA